AACCCTAACCATATCAAATAGTGACCAGGGTACGTTCCGGCAGTACCCTGGGGGACATAGACCCTATGAGTCTGACTATGAGTATGAGCGTAACTGAGTCACGATGTAGTGACAGTGTCACTGAGTGTGTGCGAGTATTCCGCTATCACTCGCCACACTAATGCAGTTGTAAATCAACGCAACTATTTCTCATGCAAGGATAAACAGCATCAACATAATTTGTCATCTATAAAGTTGATCCCCACAAGATGAGAAACTCACCAATGTGACAAATTTGATAACATCAGCGATAGCATGGCAATCTCTCACGCCGGTAGACGATGATCGCCTGGTGGCGCCATCCAGCGGTCCAATGCGACATCGCTGGTCTATGTCAAGGAGCTACATATAACAGTATATAACTATACATATAACAGTATAACAGTAATGTTATATGTAGCTCCTTGGTCTATGTCGCTCCCCACCACCAAAGCAGCATGTAGCAACTACTTTCCATTTTTTAAATATTGACTTTTCCTATTAAAATTTAAAATGATTTCACTGAAACCTAACGCGTTTATACTGTCAGTTAAAACTATGCGCAAAAGGTAATAAGATTCGTAAATAAGTAAAGAGCATATGGCATATGCATACACTCACCAGTAGTTCGTTTGACATTGAAAATCGTTATCCAATCCCTTAGATGGCGTAGATGCCCCCTTTTTCATGAATGCTAGCTAAGTTCAAATAAATTAAACATGTGTACGTGTAACGTGTTCGCGTATGCCTGGTATAATCGTCCACAGAAAATACTATTTGGGTGTAACACACATGCATTAATGATTAGAGACCACACATTGGTGATTGCAATAAACAATATTTAAATACATAAATAGCTATTATATAAATTGTTGCATTTAAATAAATTATTGGCGATATAATATGTACTAATTAGTCTTTATACAGTTCTATGATTTTATATGTTACATGGAAATGGTTTAATATATCCTCGTAGCCCTCGATCATCCAAGCATGATCATTCATTGCTTTTGACGGTATTATATTTAAATTTAGGATCCCTTTGAGTTTATCTCCTTCGTTTTTGGCATTCCACATTGGAATTATCTTCTTTCTTATTTGGTCAAATCGATTAATTTGGTAAACTGTAAAATTGAAGCTTTTTTATACTGCAATGGATCTGCAGTGTTGATAATTGTCTATTTGATAAACTTTGGTGTCTCTCCGTCATCGATCTAGTCGATCCTTGGACATTGAACTAAAGACAATCAGTCTACATCAAGTTCAAGTTCAAGT